TTCAGGATGAAGTCGTGGATTGGGGTTGATGGATGATGGTTCCGGTGCTTGTGTGTTGCAGCTTGGTTGGGCTTGAGCCCACGATTCAGGTTGCAGGTCCATCTCCAATCATCTCCTGTTTCCCATAGGGACCCCTGTAAAGTGCTGCAATAATTCAAGGCAAAAAAGAAAGAAAGAAGCAAACGTGCAGTAGAGGGACAGCGATGGATATAAATACCGACCCTTGTGAATGTCAAGATTGCCACAATGGCGCTAGACCAGTAAATGACAAAGAACGGAAGAAACAAACGAAGAAATAACCAAATAGAGATTTCGAGGATGCTGAGCTCACGAAACAAAGCAGTGAATGATAAGTCGGTGATTGAAGGCAAGGTTTGTAGTTGTCATTATTGGACGCATATTCAACTTGCAGGTGTGTTGTAAAGTTGAGAAATATGGTGTGCACTTCGTGTAGCCTGAGGGGGATGGTGTATGGTTCTTGTATACACCTAGTTGATAACTCATCAGGTAAAGTACGAGATGAAGAAGCCCACTTGGCATGATTGAGCATGAAGGAATGAGGGTTTGCAATCAACTTGCACACATAGCAGTGTGTGTGTGTGTCAAGTTGGCCACATTGCTAGCCAATGTTGCTTCAACTCAACGTCCAGGATTAAATCCCAAAGGTTTGAAATCTGCTTCGTGAGAGACGGAGTGTGCTACCCGCTGCATACACCATCATTCTAGCCAATCTCTTCATCATCCTCGATTGTGAAAAAATACTATGGCTGCGATGTACATGTTTGAATTCATGTTCCCTTGAGTGAAGTCCAGCCTTGACTTGAGATTGCAGGTTCAGTGTTTCCGTGAAAACGTCATAGCCTGCAGGTGATTGAATATGCAGCACACAGACGTTGTGCAGATTTTTGGCTGTGGTCCCTCTCACACTCATTGACAGATTGAAAACAACATCTGCACTTAGTTCACAGTGTGTTTCTTTTTCGTGTCATTTACCCGCAAAAACTTCTGAATCAGCTGACTCTTTCTGTATTTCTCAATTGCATGAACTCAAAACAACGAGTTGGCTAGAATAATTCTGACACAATTGGAAAATGTTTGATGACAACACAATACTAGACCGTGTTTTTTGAGGTTGAGCATTATTCTTATGATTTGATGTCTTCGGTAGCTTCAACATAGAGTCTAGTGCAATCCAATTGTGAGTGATTTAAAATATTTTTGACATCTTCAAAGACCAGGTCACCGAGACGTACACTGATAACCAGTCTTAACTCAAATAGATGGTTTGTTTGTTCTTTTGTCAAAACCCAACAGATTTTGTGTAAGATATCTCCAGTAAGCACTAGCTTGTTCTCATGATCGTACAAGCAATTGTTTTTGCCTTCTACATATTTTGTTATTACTAATGTTTCAAACATCGTAAACTTAAGTATATAATACCTCATTTACATCATATAGCTATTATTCTGTTTATTCATTTTAAGAAGACAAGAGTCCTAAGAGTAATTTGGAGATGTATTTAAATAAAAAAATATATGTGATTGTTGTAGATAAATTCACAATTTCTTCAAAATTTGAAGACAAAAAAGTGACTAGACAAGGAAGATGATTGCAAAGCCATAAAATTTGTAGAATCTTGTTTAAACAAAAGATGTCCATAAAAAAAGAATATAAGTCATTAATGATAAATAATATATAAATATTTAATTTTCTTCCAAAAAACCAAATTTGCAATGGATAAAACGGATCAATGCATTCTAAACGAATATAAAATATTAAAATAGATTAGTTGCAATATCATAACTTTGCAATCAAAATTAAATTAAATTATAAGTTGCATTTTCAAAGTAAAAATATTTAAAAAAAACTATGATAAAAATTAGATAGATGATATAAATAATTAAGTTTAAACAGTGTATTATTTCTATTTTGTAGGAGTAATACATTTATTACAAAATTATAGAAAAAAAATTCTATTTTACATGCTCTACTATAGAAATAAAAGAAATGATAATTACTTAAAGTATAAATGATATTTTTTGATTTAAGGTAAATTTTGTTTATTATAAAATATTAGAATATAAAAGAAAAATTAGAATAAATCACAATTAAGAACAAATCTATCAATTAAAGCCATTGATGATATATAAGTTATATAAATATATGAAAAGTTAATTAAGAAAAAGATCTCATAATAAAATTTAACATGGTTAATTTTATGATTCAATATATATATATATATATATATATATATATATATATATATATAAAGTAAAGATATTCATTGAATTTTTTAAAAATAAAACAAAATGATAAAAAAAATCAACTACTTAAATTTAAGTTAGATATTATAATCAAAATTAGAAATTAATTTATATTAATTACAAGTAGTTAAAAATTAATTAATTAATTTTATTAATAAAACATAAATAGATTTATTTTAAATTTTATAAATTCTTTAGTTTTAAAATATTTTTTGATATTTTAATATGAAAAAAAATATATTAATCATTCAATTCAAATTACAAGATGGCCTCAATTAACAATTTTTTGTACTTAATGGTGTGAAGCAAGACATGTAACTATAACAAAAGAAAAAAATTTCAAACACAATTGTTTTTGAAAGAACAAAAATCAAATAATTATATATTCTAAAAACTAATCGAAATCTATTTATTATATTTTAATCTAATAAAAAATAAAAAATAAAAATTTAAAATTTAAATATATGTAAATATATTTATCTTTCTAATAATGTAACAAAAATATAAATCAAATTTTTGTGAATAAATTATGATGGTTTAAAAGTAAGAAATAAAAAGTGGAAAAATTAACTTCATATGTTTTGTCTCAAAGATAAGTTGCTTTAGGGATCAAAGGTTTTAGCTTCACTAATACTTACAAATAGTACATATGGATTTTTTTAAAGAAGCCAAAAAATCTTTTTGCATTTTTAATTAAACTATGGTATTTTAAAACATTCTATAAACCTAAAGATGTTATAAAATCTTCAAATCTTACTTAAAATCTTTATAATGAAACTTACTAAGACTCCATTTTTATGAAACTTTGTTAAATAAAACTCTTGAATCATGTAAAATCAATTTAAATTATAATAAATAATTAAAAAATCAAATAAAATCTTTATTATGATTTTTTTTTATCAAAATAAATTAATAATATATTTTTAATAATTCTACCAGTTAAAATACATAGATGAGAATCATCATAGCTACAAAGAATACTTTCAATTATCCTTTTTTGTACGATGTATTTTTTATAATTAAGAAAAGAATTCTACTTAATTATTTTTAATATTTTTTTTTCATGTATATATATATATATATATATATATTTAGGTATATGTAAATAAATTATTATATCTTTTTTATTTATCTTAAAAAAATTTATATAAAAATATTTTTATTTATTCAATATTTTTAATTTAATATGATTATTATTTTTACAAATAATAGATTTTTTGCTATATTAAGATATATACATATATATAAAATATAAATTAAATAATTATATGAGTTTTTTATTTTTTTAAAACTTTCTTTAATATTATCATAATTATTTACATATTTATTATTGGTCAATAAAGTTGTATTTTTTATCACGTTATGATTTTAGCTATTTTTAGTAATCAATAGTATTTAAGATATTTTTATGCTAACATTTATAGTATTATCTTATTTGGCATAAAGAAATATCTCTTTAATATTTACATGCATAACATGAGGCTTTTTAGTATTCTATTTGTCTATAAATATTATAAATGCTAAGACATATACAAACCAATATATTTACATTGAAATTTTTTATAAAGATTATAATTATAAATAAGTTTTTAGATATTTAAATATAAATACAAAAACTATATAAAATTTCTTAGTTAAAAATAGTGAATTAGAATAAGGTTAAAATTTTACAAAATTACATGAAGATTTAATCTAATAGTAAACAAAAGTATTACTACTAGGACACCAAATTTGATATTGTGACTTGTAAAGTTAGAAACTTAAAATGTTGCAAAAATATAGACTAAACTTTTGTAATCTTTTAGTATTAATAAACTATAAATATGATTTTTATATGACTTTTCTATAAAATTTATTTCAATCATAATAAAATTTATACACTTAATTATATTTTATTCATAAAAAATATTTATTTCCTTAATTATATATATATATATATATATATATATACATATATATACAGACGTGTGTGTATGTGATTATATACTTATATATGCACAAATTCATTCAATCTTAATTTCAAACAAAATATTTTAAGTTACAAACTATTTGTATAATCTTTTTTCCTCCATACAACTTAGGATATGTTTCAAAAATATGTTGCTGAATGATCATCATGTTTAGCGCTAAAAAATACTACGTGAGTTAAATTAAAACCAACCAGAAAACGTCAAGTTACCTCAGAATTCTACAGCAAAGAAATGCTTGATTATTGTTTCCATGGATGTACAAATGTATAATCTCCAACGCATGCTGTACATGATGACTTTCAATACAATTCTAAGAAAACGTCGTATGTTTTCCTATTTGGGGATACAAAGATTCGTCTCAATGATACTAGTTCCAAGAAAAGAAACTGACGACGCATCAAAATATAGCATCGAAACCTTGAAATTTGGGATCACTCGCTTGTTTTGTGTTGGTAAATGGTAATTTTAGAATCGAAATTCCTGCAGCTTGAACCACCACTGTAGTGGTACTTCTACATTGTCGGTTCACTGTAACTCTATCAGAAGCCAACTCAGATTACTAGTTAACTTCCATTCAGTTGAAATTTCGCGCACTCTTCACGGACATGTTCGGTTGCTTGAGCGGTAAAGTGGGATCGTGAGCGTCGTGGACACAAGCATTATGGACACGGCCCATGCACAATCACCACAAACAACAACCAGATCGGCACACATGGCTCCAAGTACCCACCTCCATTCACCCGAACCCATGCATCGTACAACATAGTAGCACCAAAGCGGAGTCAATGTAGATTACAATCGTCCCAGCATCAATGGCTGCTGGCATATAAGCATCACACCTAATCGTCGCACCTCTCGTCAATCTGTCGGAAGCTCCGTGATGTCACCGGCTTTCACAAAAATCTCTGGTCCACACACCCGGCTTCCACCCCACACAAACCTTTCTACCTGCACCCGAACTAGCTTCTCATGGATGAACGGCCTCGCTTCCTTGCGCAGGCGCCACATCTCAAACAAGCAGCGTCCACCTCCTCTTCATCATCACCTCCCAGCTCCCCCTCGTCCCGGCTCCGCTCCCTCCACACCTCGCCTTCATCGCCCATGTCTGCCCAAACCTCCACCCGTTGCGCACCACGTTCCTCAGTACCAGACTCCGCCTGTCGCTGGTCGTCACCACGAACGACAGCGGCCCGCTCATCTTAGTCCGCACGGTCCACAACGCACCCCAGTTGCGGTACATTGGCACCCACCCGGTGTATGGGCACTTGATCCTCACTGCCACCACGTTCCCCGCGCCGCCCACATTGTGGATGAGCACCATCAAGAACCACGGGTTGCCCCCCACCGTAAACCGCACTCCGCCGCGTTTCGCACAACGAACCCTGCCACCATCGCACGTGCACCACATCGTCAGCTCCACCAAGCTTCTCATTCGCTCAGACACCACCTCCCACTGCCTTCAACTACAACATGTCTGAAACCACTGCTGCATGTCTGGAAGACCACTAGTTCATGTGCTTTGGTGCTACCTTCCGACAGCTCTCTCACCATCATCATCACTAGCCAACCTCCAAATCATGGTGCGGTCGCGAGGGCCACTTACTTCCTGAACCACACTGGTACCACTCCTCCTCGCCGTACGAGCGATGTGAACGCCAGCATCGGCAGGTCGAAGTGGGACCTGGGAGGGTCGCACCACCCTCCCTCGGACCCGCGCGGGCACAGATTGGACGCTGTCACGACGATCGAGCGAGTGTAGCTCCAGCACCAATTCCGCCTGGACCGCACTGAAGCACACCGGAGTTGGTAGCACGCACCGCACGCACTACCACCCTGGAACAAGGGTGAGCTCAATGCAGCGGTCATGGACCCGTAGCCGAGCGCGTACGTGTTCTGGTACGCGCAGGCACCCCCCCCTGCGTCCCTGCGCCGTTAGTCGAGCCGTAGTAGGTGATGTGGGCATCCCTCCATCCTCGCGGTGCTGCAAGCACTGCATACAGCCCCAGTGCCAAGAAGAGCACAACAAGCTTCCAGCCTGATGCAGTGTCCATCGTCGTCCTGGTCCCCCTCCTGCAGTCTTACAATATTCTCATTGAATTATCGATAACCTGATTTAGTCTGGTTTTGTTTCACATTTTAATGGAATTCTGAGGGGATCCGGATTGAACATTATTTGCCGTAGGCAGTGATGTCCACATAGCTTAAGGCAGCGCTGCAGTTTGAGCGGACAAGAAGCTATGCTGTGTTCAGCAGGCATGACGAACATGGTTTTAATGACATGTGCTGATCTAGGGCCCCTGAAAGTGCTGCCGTTGCGATGGACGTGTAGGTGAGGGCTCTCTCTATTCGATGACTCACAAGAGTGCCTTTTACATTGTAACCACTCGTCTTAAATTCGGATTATATAGAAGCAGTAGATGCGCGAGAGCTCGACGGTGACGTGTGCTTTAATGAAGAGGAAATGACGTATTCTCATCGAGTTTAAGAGCACTAACTCCCGACCAATGCCATTTATACAATTGCACTTACACGTGTCAACTTCGATTGCAGTGGACTGCAGTCACCTTCGGGCAAAAGCCAAATTCGCGATTCTCTCGAAAGGATGAGCATTGGCGTTGTATCCTCAAAACTTTATTGAAGTTGGAATAGGGATTAAAGGAAATGAAGTCACAACGGATGGTCGGAAATTCCGGCTTTGTCATATCTAGAGCATAGTCAAGCAATTTTAGGTCGTGTCGTCAAGCCCCCTCACCTACTGAGGACCAGTGAGAAGCTGACGTGTGGAGAAATTTCATACTGAGAGTCACGATGAATGAAACTTGTTCACCTTCTTAAGTACATGTTACGCATGAAAATGAATAACTAATTATTAAGTTTAACTTACTGAGACCAATGAAATTGAGTCCTCAGCATTTTCAATGCATGGTGTTGATTAGATTACCTAGACAGTGCTACAAGAGAAAAATCTCCAATGTACACACAGCTTCATCACTCTAATTCATAATGTGGAGCATTATTATTTTTTCTTTTTATCTTTTATGAAACATCAAACTCATCTTCGTATAAATAAATAAATAATCTATTAAATTTTTGCATCCTGTGATTTCTGTGTTGTTACAACATGTAAACCATGATGTTCTTTGGATTCACTAGATGGAGTGCCCATCTTCTGATAACCTGTCTACTGTGAAGTGAATAGTTGACACAGCCAGCAACAAGAATATCCAACTCTCAACCACTTCGCAACTGCAATAACAGAGGCAGATTGCAATGGAAGGAGACTCGCATCGACTGAGCAATGCTACGTCACCATAGTAGTTACGTTATCGTGGATCTTAGCTCCCTCACGCAAATACTCTATCTTAGATGACAACATGTAATCACATGCTAGCTAGTAGACCTTCTAATTATGTGCTTACGACAACTTGGGCTTGCATTCAGTATCTGCTGATTTACAGACGAAATATCCAAGCAAAATCATACGTATGTTCGATGCTTGTTCCTTCAGGACAACAAACTGATCCAGAATATGTGTTAATAGAAAAATCAATTGCACCTTGGTGTGCGGAAGATATCAAGGGTGTACGGACAACTACAACCGTTTCAGGTCGGGAGTTGTTTGGTGAGCTCACCTTAGCCTTGGTTCTGCGGCACTATTCACAATTGCAGCCCCTTAAAATAGAATACAAAATATGAGGTTCAACCACGGCCTGCGATAACCGGCCTAAGGTGTGAGCAAAAGATTCGCTCGCTTCACATCAGGCTTGGCGTTCTCCAGGTTTCCCTGACCTCATGTCTCGTTACGGCATGATTCCACATGACAAATGAGTTTCTATTCTCGTTAACAAAACAGGTTCGATGTGCGAAGCGCGGCGGAGTGCGGTTCACGGTGGGGGGCAACCCGTGGTTCTTGATGGTGCTCATCCACAATGTGGGCGGCGCGGGGAACGTGGTGGCAGTGAGGATCAAGTGCCCATACACCGGGTGGGTGCCAATGTACCGCAACTGGGGTGCGTTGTGGACCGTGCGGACTAAGATGAGCGGGCCGCTGTCGTTCGTGGTGACGACCAGCGACAGGCGGAGTCTGGTACTGAGGAACGTGGTGCGCAACGGGTGGAGGTTTGGGCAGACATGGGCGATGAAGGCGAGGTGTGGAGGGAGCGGAGCCGGGACGAGGGGGAGCTGGGAGGTGATGATGAAGAGGAGGTGGACGCTGCTTGTTTGAGATGTGGCGCCTGCGCAAGGAAGCGAGGCCGTTCATCCATGAGAAGCTAGTTCGGGTGCAGGTAGAAAGGTTTGTGTGGGGTGGAAGCCGGGTGTGTGGACCAGAGATTTTTGTGAAAGCCGGTGACATCACGGAGCTTCCGACAGATTGACGAGAGGTGCGACGATTAGGTGTGATGCTTATATGCCAGCAGCCATTGATGCTGGGACGATTGTAATCTACATTGACTCCGCTTTGGTGCTACTATGTTGTACGATGCATGGGTTCGGGTGAATGGAGGTGGGTACTTGGAGCCATGTGTGCCGATCTGGTTGTTGTTTGTGGTGATTGTGCATGGGCCGTGTCCATAATGCTTGTGTCCACGACGCCCATGATCCCACTTTACCGCCTAAGTAGCTGATCTTGCAGCGTAGATCTTAAAGTGGGGATGCTCTATTGTTGTCGTGAAATTGATTGTGTTTGAGTGACAGTGATTGACACGAATATATCCTGTTTTCTAAATAGGAAAGGTTAGAGAGTACTCAAAGTTGGGCAAAAATGGAAGCTGTGTAGAGATTGGAGATAATGAATAGTTCTGTAACATACAGTTCCTAGAGGCTTGCAAACTAGTAAGGGTTGCATCTTGTAAATGGGATGAGATTTTTCTAAACAGCATTTATTTTTTATTTTTTATTTTTTCTAAGAAGTAGGCTTAGAGGCACGTCTTCTCAATGGGGTGTGATTGTCCAAAATGGCCTGTTCTTCTCTTTGAAGTTGATTAAGACCCCTTTAATATTAGGAGTCTATATTTAAGCTTCTAGCCAACAAGATATACAAAGTATGTATTCCAATACTTTTTCTTAAGTAATAAGCTTATAAAGCAACAATGCTCTTCTAAATTTGGCAAATAATGATAGATGATTGGCAAATTTTGGGCCTAATATGTTCTTAGTAAAAATATTTATTTTTTTGTTTTAAATAGGATATTAAATAAACTTTAGATTTTTAAGTTCAACTAATTGAATAATAAAGTGATATTAAACAACTATGTATTTAATTTGTACATAATATTTAAAAGTATTGACTAAAGTGAAGGTACTTCAAATATTGAAATATATTAGTATTGATTGTGATAAGTTTTGCTTGATATCATGAATCAAGTGACACAAATCTTGAAATGCAATAATTTCCTTGGCCATATATTCATATTTTCTATTTGATAGGATTAATAATTGCCTAGTAGATCTTTAACTTTTTTAAAAGTAAAAAATAATAGTTAGAGATGGATTTATACTTATCAATCTTTCTTATCTAATTTTAGCCATCTAAGTCATAAAATATACAAGGATTAGTATCTTGCCAATATTGAATATTATAGTTGATAAAATATTTCAAGTATGTAAAAGCATGCTTGTATGCTTCAATATATGTTTGACCATACTTATGCATGTATTGAATAGGTATACTAATTGCAAATGATACATTAGATTGTATATAAATATGTGCCTAATTAAGGGATCTAACTAAATTATAATAAAGAAACTTTGCTTATTTTTCCTCTCTTAAGATGTCTAAAGATAGTTAATAATTAAGGATTATGTATCAATTGTAATTGATATAGATAGAAGACATAAATTATAAAATTCAAACTTTATTAATTTTTGCTAAATGTAATTTTTTTGTAAAATGCATAGCTAGCTTTGGTAAATATTTTGTATAACTTACAAGTTTAATAGGCAATGAACTTCTTTAAGATTAAACATGAAAAATCTAGAACTAAACTTAGGCTTAATATATTTTAATAAGCATAGATGATTGCATGCAATAAATATTTTGTTAATAAAAAGAGTAAAGATAGTAAATTTATTTTTTATTTTTTTATTTTATTTTTTTATTTTTTATTTTGAATGTAGTAGATATTGATGTTTACATCAAAGTTCATAAATTCAAGTGGTGCCAAAATTGCATCTATTATCATATACCATTTTGTAAGATGATTGCTTCAACCTATTGAATGTCTTTTTTTAAATTACATATTATTTATTTTTTTAGAAAAGAACTTCTTTAAAAATTAACAAACTATTTTTTTTTTCTAAAAAATTATTAAATTTTTTATTATAATGTCTATTTAATGGACACAAAGGTTTTATAGAGGAAGAAGTACTAATATTATTCAAATAGATTATGTTCTCACTATAAGTATGAATATTTTGATTTTTTTTATCAATTAAAAGACTTATTATTTATTAAAATATTTTTTTAATGTGATATAATATTTATTATAAAAAAATATTGAAATTATAATTTAGCAACTAAAGTAGTCTTGAATCAAGATAGAATACAAGAAATATATTAAGAAGAATGAAGAAGGCCTATTTTTTGCCTCCATATATACTATCTACTAAAGAACTATGTAGTAATGTCTTATAAACCATATAATACATGTTCAATTTGCTAAACACTTGTCTAATTAGTAGGACAAAATTTTGCTATGTGTACAATATGATCAACTTGCAATACAAGTGACTAAATGTGCATCATGTGACTAACTTTTTAACCAAATTATCAACTTAAAAATCACTTGTAAATATATATAAAGTCTATTGAGCTTCTAGAAAGCTTTTTAATAAGATATCAACAATTTAACCTACTTCTATTCACTTCTACGTAGTCCTATTTATCTAAATAAAACTACTAATAAATATGACTATTTGTTATATTTTAAGCTAATTTTTATTAATATGTTCCAAACATGTATGCCAAAGATGTGCAATTTCTAATAACTTTCAATTATTGACAACTATATTTTGTTATTGACAACTAGAGTTTGTTAGTAGAGCTTGCTTTAGCAAAGGATTACTATTGTTGATAGTGACTTTAGCCAATTTATGATTATAAGAGCTATTGATAGAAATAAGATATTTCTATTAATATTCACATTAGTTGGATCAAAAGATGTTTTTTAATATTGTTGACTCATTTTTATTTTTTAGTTGTAGCTTATGGAATAGATTTTGGTTCAAAAATCAAAGAAATTTACTTTCATTCTATAATTTGTAGGATAGGTTTTGTACTATTGATACTTTCTTTGTAATGATGTATTTTTTTGTATGCAACATTTTTTTATGGAGATTCTTTAGCTAGTATTTTTTTTCATTTATTATATAATTCCATTTGTGTATTTATAGTTGTATTGTAGTGATTACTTCATATTTATATGATAAATGATTATATTGCTATTGTATTATTTGTTAAGGTGTATGTATCTCGACCTAAAGTGATGTCTTATATTGATCCAAAATTAGTATTTAAAGCAAGTATATATTGCAAAGAGAATTAATTATTTATATCAATATTATTTGTATTTGTTTGTTTTTATTCTATATTTAGCTATAATTTCTATAATTAAATTTTCATTATCAAGAAAATTAGTTAATTATCTAAATTAATTAAACAATAATGTTGACTAGATAAGTTCTTTTTGAATTGTGGAATCATTTCTTTTAGGAATTAAGATTGGACTATCTTACATTTCTCCAATTAATGTTATTATTATATTATCTTTGATTTAGTATGTTTGTGTAATACAAGTTCTCAAAAGGTTCATATTTTCTTTAAATAAGAAAATTACAATTATAAAATTGTTTCTTACTAGAAATCTACATGCTTGATTTTTATTCTAGATACAACGTTTTTTTTAGTTGCAATTATTAATTAAAAAGATGTTTTTCTACAATTTGATGATATGTAGCACCTTTGCAAGTTGGAGAACTAATATATAAATTATGCAAATTTTTACTTCTTTTTGCTTATAAATAAAGAAAATTTTATTATTATTCAAGTAAACATTCTTTTTTCCATATGAAAAAAATTCAAAGTTGATGAACTATTATTGATTATGAATCAAATAATAGATGGTTTTTATTTCAATATAGAAATATGTATCTTTTATTAATCCTATCTAAGATGTTCTTATGGAAGAAGAAGCTTGTATTATTTAAATGTGCATATAGAAGAAAGAAAGAATTTTTTCTATAATTTTTTTAATTTTATTATTTTTGTTATTATTATTATACATTTTTACATTTTTGGCTATAACCTTGGACTTTTTTTAAAAGAATACAAGCTGAAATGCCTCATTCTTTTGCAATAAGGACATAAGCAAAGGATTTTAATTTATTTTATTATTCTTATGGTTTTTATAAGCTTACTTGTAGATGTTGTAGGTTGCTACTTAACCTTGCTCTTGCATCCTAAAAAGAAGGCTTCTGATTCAAAAAATAACTCTTTTATGGTTGTTTCTTTTTAAAAGAGAATAGCAATCAATTTTTGCATAATGTTCTTGTTTTTTTTAATATGAATAATTATGCTATACTATGATAGCATCAATTTTACTAATGTGAAGACTTTTATTTGTGCTAAAATAAATACTCTTGCAAAAAAGCGTTGCTTGAATAGTGTCTTGAAGTTATGAAAATATTATGTTATTATTTCTTACTTGTATTTTTGCAATTATGAATTTTTCTTGTAGATGGACTTTGATTCTAAAAGATTATTAAAGATATAGAATCTCTAATATTATATTTAATATTTTAAATTAGAAAGTACTTAAAATTTAATAAAAATTTAATTTATGTTGAGATTAGATATAATAAAGAGTCTTGTGAGGCTCAATGAAGCATATATTATTAAGAGACGTGTAATCCAATAAAAATTGCATCTATACAATGGAATGTAACTATACTAAATATCATGTCTATTTCTATGAATTAGATCAAGACCATTTTTATATTAAGAGATTAAACTTAAGTTTTTAGTTAATAAAAGATATAAAGATTATATTCTAACATGTTATATAATAAAAGAATATTGTTTTGGTGTAATATCATGTTGAGCTATTTTAGTTAATCAGATTTCATATATATAGAACATTTGTGTTTTTACCAGGATGAAGACAATGCTCGTTGCATCCATGTCATTTAATGATAGGAGAATGTAGTCTCTACTGATTTAAATTTGATTAGATTATATTTATTTATTAGAAATTTTTTACATGTGTAAATAAGCTAAGAATATAAAATAAATTTATATGTAAGAATATTATAGTTTTTTATATACATATTAGCATTAAATATCTTTTTTATAAATTATTCAAGGATTTTTGGTAATATATAGGATATCACAAGAATATATTTTTGTTGGTTGCCTTGGAGCCATCATGTTATTATTTTGCACTATTATATCATATGTGATGTGAATTATTAAATACACACACACACACACACAAACACACACACAGACATATATATATATATATATATATATATATATTATTTCTTTATTATTAAAATTTTAACTTATTGTTTTTCATGTAATTAGCTATTGATAAGAAACAACGAAGAAACCAAATAGAAGATTTTTTTTATTATCTTTATCTTTGAAAGATTTTTTGTTGAAAAAGAAGTATTATAAAGTTGCATAGACTAATTAGAATTTATTAAATTTAAACTCAAATTACAACATGATCATGCTTTAGGTAGATGTCTTTTAAATTTATTCATTTTTTTTATATATTTTTATTTTTCTTCTTAAAACATAATAAGATATATCCAATTCTTTGATTAAGTTAAAAAAATGGAAAAGTTAGAAAAAATTATATCTTGATACTTATATTTGGTGAATATATGAGTGAT